CGACGTGAGACAAGGGACGGCTAAGTAGAAGTCTCATACTCATAATCGTTCTTATACTAATACTGTAGTGTTCATAATCATAATCATACGGTTCGTCATAGTCATAATCATATTAATTTTGTGCTCAAAGTTCTTATAATCATAACCATACCCACCTTCAAAGTCATGCTCATAATTATGCTCATGTTCATGACCGTACTCTAAGAACAGGCCGTTCTGCCTCGTTCTGCCTAATGCCTCTGTGCTTAATGAACAGGCCGTTCTGCCCTCGTCGCTTTGGCGACCCTTCGTGGACGGGTGACTTGAACCGGCGTATGGCTTCTTTGCTGGCGCTGGGGCTGCACTCTCCGAGTGGGGCCTGTTATCTCTTTTAATGGCACACAAATGCGGCTAGATGCCACGCTTGCGCTGCGAAAGCTGGGCACTGAAGGCGGGGTCGGCGAGCGCATCGGTGATCCGCATCCGGCATCGCAGCCAGCCACGCCACCGCGTGGCACTGCGACTGCCACTACTGTAATTACAGAATGTAAATCCCAAATATAGCGCACTCTGCCTTTTTTTCGAGAGTTTCGAGAGGGGAAGCCTAAAATCGCAGAGGGCATTTGTTACGGGGGGCGTTGGAGTTTACTTATTATTATTTCGGGCCACGGAAAGGGACGTTTAAAACTACAAGGGGCGTTAATTTCAGTGCATTTAAATTAGCAGCACGTAATTTATGGATGCTTCTCTACCCTAATCATCTCTAATCACTTACGGCCGTGGCTGGACAATGATTTCTGGGAAAACAGCCCGGGTAGTTGACTGTGATGCCCCGGGATGTCCAAAGTTGACTTCGCACTCCAGAAGCGACTGGCGCGCGGCGCGCCTGTTTTGCACGAGTTTACCGAGACCGTCGCGGGCGGTAGTCTACCGAGACCGTCCCGTAGATGGCTGGTGGAAGTACGCCGCTGGACGCCGCTGGAACACGGTTCTACTGCATCAGCTGGCGATGACAGCGGACGTGTCGAAGGAGGTGGGTGAGGCTGAAGCATTTTAGGCGGCGGTATGCGGGGTGGCCAAACACAACTGGTCGCGCGCTAGGGCGACCGACACTTGTAATTACATATAACTGGTACAAGGGATCGCTCGACATATGTGTACTGGAGTTGCTTGTTACATGAAGATGCAAGCTTTTTTTAGTCATTTCAGCATCAATTACCCGCATTATTAATATTAGAGGGTGAGGGATAATATATAGCTCACGTTATCTGCGTACCATGAGGTTATTGTACGTATAATTTGGTTAATAAAAAAACTTTACTGGAACGTGGAAGTTGGAACGCGTTTACTCGTACTTTCGCCCCTTATATGTAGCTCACAATTTGTTTTCATAATCTGATGTAGCAAAATTCAAAATTTTTTCCCAAAATTCGTGGATTAATTATGCGTAGCTTATTGGCTTCTTTGAAAACTTGCATTTAGTCTGCAATCAAGTCCTGGAACATAACACCACGAATTTTGGCACTTTGGTCTGCTATGTCGAAAGACAGAAATTCTCCAATATTTGAGCTGACTCCGTCAATCGTACAGCTAGCAATAAAAAATTTAGTCGGTTAAAAAAGCCATTAATTCAAAGTGTTACGCATCTTATGTCATACTATACTTTGCTGCTTCCAAGTTGACTTCAATGATTAACTTCAATGATTATTTCTTTCGGTGCACGGAAATTCTCCCGCTTTATTCCTATTGGCTTCCATTGATTTAATAACGTTTGAATATTTTCGGCTGGGGGTGTCCAGGAGGTAAAGTTTTTGGATAAATTTTTAAAAGCAAAATACTGTATTATAGTATTTTAAAAGGTTACAAGAAGACCGAACTGACATGGTAGTGGATATCTAGTATCTGCTTTGTACATGCTCCGGAGAAGCATGAATGACACTGACATTTTTCAGTTTGGCAACACGTGGAGCATCATTTCTCTGTAATTTTCATAAACGATTTGTTAGTTTGAACATTTGCAGAAAAATATATTTTTAAATGTGCAGTCAGGTTATTACTGTTCAGATTATTATTAATATAATTTAAAATATTTTTATTTGAATTATTAATTTAATGTCATTCAACGTTTTGTCAGTTTTAACACCTCTAGGGTAATATATTTCCAAATGTGTACCCATGGAATTATTACTAATATTTTTATAATATAAATTTGTTATAATTATTATAACTATAATAATATAAATTTATGATTAAAGTAGCCACAAACTTTGCTTGTTGACATACTTAATTTCAGATTGAATCCGTCCTGCATTATCAGTAGCTAAGTGCTGCACGATTTCGCTTATGCCGCATTATAACAAGCTCGCTTTGCAGTGCATCGCGGTTAAGGATTCTCTGAAAACGTGAAGATTTCCTTGGTGTAAATATTTTCTGCGTCAGCACGAAAAATCTGTTGTTGTAAGTCCGAAAAACCTGCAAGTGCTGGTGCAGATCTGTAATCTGTTAGTGAAAAACCTGTTGGAAAAATTCCTGTTGGTTCGATGATCGAACGCACCATCTGTATTGGTTTGCATCAACCGTCGAGAGCCAGTTGATAAAAAACCTGCGTGCGTTTGCTCACCAATTTTAATTGCTCGACAAACTGATACCAGTCTTGAGCAGAGCAATTGCCGCTGCTATTGTAACCGTAGGCAACTAAAAAAAACGATTGATATTTTCATGGAGGCTGTACTGTTAGTGACAGTGACCTTTAGGGTAAAAAGGAACAAAGAGGAATCAGTCAAATCCGTAAGCGGTTAAAAATTAAAGGTCCGTTATGAAATGACATGCAACATCTCTAATAATCGCCAGCACTGGGTGCGAACAGAGAAAGATGTGTCCGCGAAATTTTTGCTGAAATGGGAGTACAGAAATATTTTTGTAACTCAATATGTTTATTTCAAAACGTATTAAAGAATAACATACCGTTGTGCAAAACTCCTGAAAGTGTACAGTGTCGAGAGCTTCCAGCCATGTAATAGAAAGGCACGATTACCAGTTTGGCACTTGTAATCTACATCAAGATTACTAAGATTTTGCGTCTCCAGTCATATTCCCGAGATCACCTTGCATCTCATGCAGATTACCCGGCTGCTTCAGAGTATTAACATCAAAATGCACAACCGCATGCCCACTGTACGGCAAGTACCCCAAATGACGCTGCGAATGATTGTGTCAATATTATGCTTAATGTCTATCGCTGGAAGGAGCAGTTCAAAGCTGTTGGTCAAGATGTGGTAAATTTCCAGTGCCCTTTGCGTTTGTAATCTTTTTGCTACGAGTACATTAGTCAAACAGTTCCAAAGTATACGAAAAATGAGCGTTGGTTGTCAGCACATTGGTCTATGGGGAACATCAGTATGCGCGGCCCCCGTTTACGATATAGTCCGTCGACCGCCACCTTATTGATTGGCTTTTTTCTGTGGCTGTATTTATTTATGCAAGTATTCTATAATTAAATATAAATATGATGTTACAGCAAAAAAACCCTGTAAAGGATGTTGAATATAATAAGAAAATATAATAAAAATAAAGTATTTTTATATTTTTTTCATCGGATGGAGCGAGCATCTGTGGTACGAATACTGCACACAGGTTCGCCACTTCAAACCCAAAGTTTCTGCTGACCAACCCGGACAGTTGTCCGGCATTGTGCGAGGTACAATGCAAAAATGAAAGTGTGGTTACTTTTTCTCGCTCGGTAAAATCTGTGCCGAAGGCAGTAATTGCCTGACGACGTAGTATCGTGACATTTATCTTTTATTTACTCGTATCAGTCGATGTGTAAGTTCTTTTAGGCACCATGAGGCGATAAAAAGCTTGCTGCCTAATGGTCACAGTTTCACTAATCCTCAAGAACACTTAACAAGAATTTTGCTAAATGCTAATGATGACATTTTTAAGGTAATCAACACTTCCAACCGGCCCTTAATATATCCACCTACCGGACAAACATAACCATTAACGGCCATCGTTGCTGAGAGTTGAAAGTGGCAGCCTCATCGAAACGTTCTCGGGGTTTGCTCTGATTTCTCGCTCATTTTCTGAATCCTGGCGAGTCGTGTCGATTATATATCGCTCGAAGTAATTTCCATGCCGTCACGTTATCGAATATGCGGTGTCAGTGGTGAGTGGTGGTGAGTCTCATAATTCACGAATGTTACTCAACTGCCAGGCGCCTCTCCAGTTCGTGTTTCGGCTATGCGCTAAAATATGTGTACTATGCGCTAAAATATGTGTACTATGCGCTAAAATATCTTTGTTTTCTGGGCCCCGTATTCCAGACACCCTACTAAAAATCGCTGATCATCAGGATTTGTCACGTCTTGGCACAGATGTTTATTGTGCCACTCTGGCCGGATAGATACTGAATCATGAAATACTCGTAGTACCACATAAAAATGCGTCCTCTACAGGTCAACACAGCCATGCGGGTTGCTACGCGCTAATATGGCGCGTAGCCACTACACTACAGGATTTAAATTTGGTCTTGAAGGAACACGAATAATCGGGATATGTCGATCAATATTTCTTCTTATTTTGCTCTGATCAGGGTGAACATGCTGCGTGCGGACATTCGCGCTTTTCTAAAATTTTTGCCTTGTCGAAAGCAATCTCTATCCCGTCACAACAGGCAGTCTCATTAAACTACTGTAAAGCCCTGTCTATTATGTTTATATAGTAGTATTGCTCAGGTTTATATATAAGTAATTAGTGTTGAACGTGGAGACATCGTTTGTCCGTCGTCACTCATCGCGCACATCACACGGTAACCTTATGTTCCAGATGGAACATGTTTCGCGTTGCTACGAACTCCATCTGCAAAAAGTGGTATGAAACAAACATGACAAACAATCGAAGACTGCATCTATTGTAAGTTTTTTCCCACGAGACATTTAGTGGAAGCTTTTCTGTATCTGTAGATATCAGTTTTATATTTGGATGGAAATGTAATAACATTTTCGGTCCGCTTACTTTGTTACTCAAATGCTTGGCGTTGTTGTACAGATGATATACCACTTTTGTTCACAATTCTTGAAGGTTTTCCGTATTCGGCATCCTTTCTGCTTCCGTTGTGCAGGTTGCAGGAGGAACTGCCGAAAACAGAACGCTCTTCCGAAATGCGTTTATGCGACACATAAATTAATGTGGCTGCGTAGTGTAGAATGGTGGTGACTTTATACAGCCGAAATACTGTAGCTGTTGGTGTATCATTTACACTTACATTAATGTAAATCAGTAAATTTCTGCACATACATTAATACGAGCACTTTTAAAAGCTTCATACAGTCCGGCAACTTTTCTAGGAAATGCATCGAAACAGTTCGAAACATGTTTGGTTAAAAAGTATTGTTTGCGCAAATGTTGAAATACGAGCACTCAACAGTCAGCACTGTAAACAAAACAGAAACTACACAGTGAGCTATCAAGTTGTTTGCGCCTTATTACCGCCCTTTTCTGATAAACTAGCGCTTGAATGCAAACCGGAAGGAGATTGATGAGGTAAGTCCTGGTGAGACCGCAGTGTCTATGTAAATAAATAAAGCGATAGGCTTTTGTTCGACTTGACAGTGCAGCTGAAATATCGACGGCATTTCCGTAAAACATCCGGCAAATAATAACACGAAGGCTGTTGCGGCACTTTACACCTCATAAAAATTTTTGAAGTAAAATGTATTTAAGCACATGTTACATGAATGATTAACATAACATTATTATGTGCACAATCGTCAGTAAAGTTTTCCGGCTCATGAATACGTTGAAATACTAAATATCCCGCAAACTTTATAAGCTCTTCTCGCGAGATCTGTGTGCACTTCTATAGCGAAAAGCTAATTACATACAGCAGTTTTATTTTGCTGTTAAAATGAAGATCTTGCTTCTTACAGCTCTTTTGATGCTCGCGTCGGCAGGTAACTTACAATACTTCCACGCAAAACATATTTGTCTGATAACACTAATTACTTAATAAGCTGACGTTTCAACACCCACAGCCACCAGCAATGCGCAAGGAGGCGGGATCGGTGGAGGCTGTATGTGCCCAGCAATATACAAGCCGGTGTGTGGAACAAACGGTGTCACATACTCCAACTCTTGCCAGGCCGGGTGTCAAGGTACAAGTAGTAATATACACGTTTTGAGTACGTACCTGTTTTTTTGGTAATTGTTTCCAAATTACCACCGGTGCCTTTCTTACAGGAGTAAAAATTGCACCATACCAGTAAAATCAGCGTTAGTGGAGTAACTGACTTCACCATATGTACCTTGGTAGTGTTTTTCCTTAGAGTAAAATTTCGTAATCTTAACGTGCATTTTCAGGGGTCGGAGTTGCTTACCAAGGCCAATGCAGACAAGGATAACTAAAAGCGACAGCTTTTAGCAACACTGTTGACTATTTGCGAGCTATGCTCTTTGACCACTGCATTTTACTTATCGGAATATACATAGTGAAGCAGATTTTCTGGTTACTGTGTACATTACGAGTGTGGAATTAAACACATAATGTAATTAGCTGTGCCGACTGGCTTACATTTTCTATTTTAATATCATGCGGCTTGTGTAGTGTAGCAAATAACATTCTATGTAAGGGTTACCAAATAACCGAAGTTGCTTTCTGTAGAAGCACTAGTCATAGAATGAAAATTATATTCTTGCTTACTTTTAGTTTTAGCTGACAGTCAGTCATCAACATGTTTCTAAAAAAACTACAAAACCACGCGCAAGGATTTGTCAAAGACTAATCCCACTAACTGATCACGCTCCGTTTCTTGTAGATTTTATTCAAGTAATTTTAATCATAAAACCGAAGCTAATCCTGCAACGGCACATACGAGGAAATTAAAATTTTAAATTATCCGGATAAATAATTAAGCGCAGCTTGCGTGGCTTATTTTCATCGTTTTCGGGACGTGTTAGTGCCAGAGCGTGATTCGGGGGTTACCAGCGCGTTGCCTCGACGAAGTAGACGGTGGAAACATCCTTTCACTCCCATCCGATATTCTTTCCCAATAAGAAAGAAAATAACCTAAAAAATATGGTTAATAATTCAACAGGCATATTTGATGCAGGGAAACGGCATTGTGCTGCAGACAGAAAATACTGCTTACCGGTGTTCCAAGGTAGCCGGAATAATAGAGCGCTCGCATCCACATCTGCAGATGTGGATTTCTAACGTAAATATAAAAATGATAAGTCGTAATGACAATATGCGGTAGATAACAGGCTAAATACCACAGCGACGACGCAAACAACATTTTTCCGATTAAAATGCGGCGTTTCATTTTCAAATGCATCGACTGCTCAGCGGGGTCACGGTGGCGATGTTTAGACCGCTTAAGGCGGAGCTGCGACAATAAGATTATCAAATAGCAGAAAAGCGTCCCGGTAATTGGTAAATAAGCGCCCACAATACCGCTGATGCGGAAGATTTCCCAGTTGGCTTGAGTCGTTGGACGAAACACGCAGATATTCCACGGCGGCACTAAAGCCGTGTCCCAACCGCTGCCCACGACCATTGGTAGCGCAAACGCCAACAAAATGACCCAGCCAATCAGCATCGCCGCAACGGTTACGACGCGGTTGTTGAATTTTGAATAATGATACGGAAAAACAACGGCAATTAGCCGGTTGATCGACAGCATGAACGACGCCCACTGTTCGCTGCCGGCACAAATGATGTAAGCGACGTAAAGGTTACGACAATTGGTTAATGACAGTGTCACCGAGGGGAAATAAATGGACAATGTCATGGCCGGATTGACGACGGCTGTAATCAGCAGGCTAGTTAAGAGCATATGGATGATCTGAATGTGGGATTCCGATGGTCTCCAGTGCCGATACAGAATGGCAATAATTAGGAGAATTATCGATAATGACGTAAGGAATTCAATGAAGGTTGTCACGATGAACCAAGCAGTTAGTGTCGTGGTTCCGGCTCCCAGTGGTTTATTCGATACGGTGTAGTTCGAGGATGCGTTCATGGCGTCGCTTACGAATGCCGGCAAAATAAATGAATTCCAAGGATCCAGTCAAAGAAATAGTCGTCAGGAGCAACAGTGACTCAGTTCGCCATTAGTTCAAGGTGATCCGCATCGGGTTGTGTAGCCTGGAAAATGGTGATGACCTTTTGGGAGAGGACTGCAGGCAACGGATTCCAGTCACAGTGATGTGTTTTTATGAGGTTCGGCATCGGGCTTAATTGTTTCCTTGTGGATAAGGAAATCTCTGTCAGGCAAAATATTTTCCGCGAAGTCACTCTTTCGATTCCAGGACCAGGCGTCTGTTGAATATTATATATTGAAATGACGCGCCTGTCTCGTTGTATCAACCAGTACATACAGATATGTAATCCCCTGATTTCAGCTCGCAATCATCATGGGGGAGTGATTACGGATTAGTCGCCTTGACTCTGCACGATATTTCATTATTTAAGACTCCCTAGTGCCAGTTTACTAAGGAAAACGCATACTATACTCCGTGTGTACCATCAGCGTTGAAATGGCTTCCAGGACATTTTCACGTGTACGTAATAATTTGCGAATGCACAAGAAAATTATTGACACCGGGTTACTGCGTGCGCTGTGACACGGAATTGAAATGAATTTGGAATCCTGATAATGTATAATCTGTTTTTCTCCCATTAACTGCGCTTCTGCAAGGAGGGCGGAAGAATGCATAATTTTATAGCTTTCAAAAGGGAGTAACGAAGAGTTTGTTGAACCTGCTGTTTGTTCCTTGAACGACAATGCTGTTTTGCTCTGGGAAAAGGGCAAGTACGGAACCGAAAATAAGTACAGCACCATTACTCGTCGAAAATGCTACGCAGAGGTAATCAGAATGTTTCGTTCGCGCTGGCTTAAACTGTATTGCAGAATGAAGACGAAATATGTACATGCGAATTCTGCGGACACGCGTACATTTTGATATAATCGAATATAAATTTTTTACCCTCATAAATTGTAGCTCGCGCTAAATATTCAGTAGAAAGTTTTATGCTAGAATAAACATTTCAAACATGCAAGGTTTAAGAAAGTCTTCGTGCAGGCTTTTCTTACCATTGTACTGTGCCGACAGCGGCCGGCAGAATGCATCGTGAACAAAAACACGAGAAGCAACACTTCCATCACACTCAGAATGCAAGTACTATCTTGCTGAAGAGTCACTACGTATTATTACAGAGTGTCACGTATCCGCTTTCAGAACCAATTCAAAAAAATCAATATTCTGGAACCGTATATGTTACCTCATACGTCAAATGCTGGCATTACCACTATCCCATTAAGTGCTCAGCAATTATCGAAGAAGTATACTTACGAGTTACGAGTATATTTTTTGCTATAAATTGCTTCGTAAAAACGTTCGCAAATTATGAATTCAAAAATGATACTGATGCCGATCAGTAGTGCCACTTCACAAAGTTACAACAAATTCCAATTAAAGCTTGGGCGATCTTTGGTTAGGATAATTACAATAAAGCCTGGCCGATTCGATCTAAGCTATAAGAAATTCCGATATGAAGCTTGGGTATTAAATTTTGTCTTTTTTGTCTCCACAGCCCATTCCACACGATCTGTCTCCTCACGTGGTTGTAGTTATTAACTTATCAGTAACAGCCAGCGCTGTAATCACAATTATGGCTACGATTTGCGATTTTTTTTTTACTCTTTGTTGCATTTTATAATCGCTTTTTTTGGCTTGTATCGCTTTCTTATTGGTTCACTGCGCTGTAGTTGCTGAAATCAAAATAATATTATACAATTTCAATATATTGATCCCCAGTATTTATTCAGTGTCACGCAAACACCCGGGAGTAAACTATGCTTTGGACTTTTAAGGCTTTAGAAAAAACCACAGACAACTACCTACAGTACCTTTATGCGGATTTCATCATAAATCTGGAGGCGGTTGGTTGTTCTCACTAGTACCATAAGCCTAATTCACCTAATGACACTGCATTATGCTTATATCTGTACTAGATTAGACTACTCGTAATACCCAACCGCTAGGGTTAGTTACAAGGTTAGGCACAAGGATCGAGCAAGTAAATGTTATTTACGCATGTTTTTGACTGTGTTATTTACGTAAGCCTTTAAACGAAGTTTCAGTTGTACCGCGAGTTACGCTACCATGTAAAATATCGGTTGTTTTTTATAGTTACCTCCCACTTCCAGTTAAGCTTTTTGACTAGTAAGCTTCGCTTCAGGGTAACGTTGTGGATCATGACTCAGTCAATCGAAAATACCGAGCTTGCATTGAGTTAAAATAAAATAGCTGCACAGGTATCATCTGATCGTGAGGTATGGTATGTACATGCAGTATGTTCAGATGCGCTTTCGGAATGTGCAGAATTGTCGAGGAAGGCAATCCTTGAACGGTACAGATAAACGATAACTTCGAGGAAATCACAAAATAATATGCGAAATATGACTTATCACTATCATTATTGTGCTTTTCCTTCGTTGAAAACTTTATTATACAGTGTATGCGGATTATGCGTGTACTACAAGTAGTACTGTAGAGACAGCCAACGGTAGGAGCATTGACACAATAACATACGTAAATTAATGCATCATCTCCTAACAAAATAAAGTTACTATTCCAGTAATTGCAGCCATTTTAAAGGTACTAAGTGTTTTTTACATGTTCATAGTATTTTTTTTCCAAAACCGCGATAACAATATCAAGAATCGGTTTCGGTTGAAGAAAGCAACATTTTCAACCGTACCAATAACTTTATATTACTTTACTGAGCCCCTTAGCGGGAGCGGATGTCGACATGGCCTGTGTGTGGTTCTATACTAAAGAACAGATTCCAGGCTGAATGGGAGATATTCAATCAGGCATAACTTCAGGAACGCACAAACGCCTTTTAATACCATAAATCTGCAGTAGGGATAAACAAATTTAATTCTTATCAGGCAGACCCGCCTCAACAGCAGCGAATAAAAGGTGAAACGACAATTTGTGCAGCACGCAACAGCAGTCCCCTCTGGGAAAGTATAACAGTCACCTCTACGCAAAATGTTTCTTCTAATAAAAACTTAACATGAAATAAGAATGAGATGGAGCCAAGCTCCAGTTAATCGTAGCGATCATACAATAAATCGATGTTCACATTATTTCGCTGAACTACAGTTGGTATGGTATCATTTTACCAGGATATGGCCACTTCCAAACGTTCCGATGAAATGGATTGTGCTCTCAAATCATGCTGCAAGATCTTTGGCAGTCTTTGCACCTCCCATCGGACCAAGTCTTCAGCGGTGGGATTATGCAGTTTTCGGGAACTTTCTGAAGTGCTCCGCCAAATATCACTATCCTGGACTTCCTTCCGCCATTTTAACAAATCCTGCCAACCGACCAAAACATATACAAGCTTAAACATCTGATGCAGTAAAGTTCGACCAGTAGAGTTTGAAGTACCTGCTTAACATCCTCCCATTCGACTCTTCCATCGTCATCCTGGTGCGTTTCGGCCAACCAATCCAAAACACGGGCCAATTCAATCTCGGTTAATGCCGGCAGACAATTCTCAATCGTGTGCCACCAATCGAGGCGTGGTACCACACGACCGTTGGTAATACGAACTTTGAATACTTTCATCGATATACATTCACCGATATTCCGACTCCGCGTGAATGGAACGGCAATATAGACGTTACGAAGTACCAGCACCTGACACAGCGATGTCAGTTCCTTAATATTGGTCGATACATAGCCAATGTGGCAGTGCCAATCCGAAACAAGTAGAGTACGCGGCGGACACAGTCCGAATGCTTCCACGGAAAAAATGACCACAGACACTGACGAAAACATCGGTTTGATGTACCCCGGGGGGCCGGTGATGACAATGGTTTGAGCCCAGCATTCGCTAGCACAGACAGCATTCAGGTATTCCTCTTCCGGGAACCCTTGCTTCACCTCCTCGGCCGAATTGACGCGCCCTGCATAATTTAGACGCAGCTGGCTGCGGATACGCGGCATGGTTAGCACATCATTCCAGTAGCTGCAAACGTTGCGATATCGACATCGGACCGGAGTGTCCAGGCATTCAAAGATTTCAGCCAAGATGATGGCGGGCAACAAGTGGATATCGCTTTTTTCTGCATCATCGCGATCATATCGCAGGCGCTTAGCAGGGCGGCCACCGTCATCCTTTCCACCAATGGGATGCTGTTGTTGAGCTTCTGGTGATTTAAAAGTGCGAACGGCCGGGGCCGTCGTGGGTACCAAGGGTTCCTGTGAAAGGGTTATAATTCAGCCCGCGTTCCGCGCTGAAGGGATGAGTCTGACTGCTAAATTGCGTCTGAGTACGAAAATTTTTTTGTTATTAAACGCAAAAAGTTTCTAATACTATTACTGTATTAACCATATCAAGTGGTAGACATAACATAAATTTTTTAAATTCCCTCACTTTTTTAGTTTTACGTTTTCGTAGATTTTCTGGCATTCTTATGTTATTTCTTATGTTGTCTTACCTCATTCATTTTTTCTTGTTGTTTATGTTTCTTATGCTGTCTTATTCTATGTGCTCTTTGCGAGATAATAACTTAAGAATAAAAAGCTTAAGAATAACAAGAAAAACGAAAAGCGTTAAGAAAATAATTATACGATAACGTCCAACGTATTCTATCTGCAGTCAGAATTTCAGCAGGCAGACTCAGTCTTTTAGGGCCTAGAAATTCAAGTAGTTCTGGGCTATTTTTGAAATGGTTTGAAACAAAATAAAATTTGTAAATTAAAATACGAATTCATGTTCGGAATAGAGTTGTTTCTGTTATAAACAAGAAAATCAGACTTCAATAAATTCTTTTCATTTTTCTATAAATTCCTCTAAGCTACTTCGGTGATTTTTCTGGTTGCACTCATTGGATCAGCCGCTTCATTCTTCATTACTCCGCTCCGCTATATGGCAGAAGAAATGTTGTATGAAAACTGCAATTACGTACCTTGTGCGATTCCTCTTCTAATTTGCGACAATCCTCCTGTGTCACAGCAACCCACTCCGAGCAATGTGTTCGGATCCGGTGCGCAGGAACAACCACATTTATAGTTGAGCTAGGCTGGATGATACTGGCAAATCCAAATGTGCCTCGTCCGTTATCAAATCCCAGTAGAACTGCTGGCCACCATCGTAATGGCTGATCGTGATCCAGTCGCACCAACACCTCCACCGTCATTCGGGACTTCTCTGGAAAATAAGAAACACATAGGTAGTACATGTTATGTTTTTGCCTGGCTTTTTATTATTTAGCTTGTACAGAGCACCATTTAAATTCAAACATTAGCATTACCAACGCACACTAATGGTAAGCAAAACCATTGGGAATGTGCAGTGTTTGCACCATACGTTTTCTCATATCCTGCATCAAATCCGGCCGAACGGTCCTCTCGCAGAAATACACTCTCCCGTAGGGAAGCAGCTGCGTTACTCTACCGCCTTTGCAGGTTTGCACTTCTACCCGTATACCCCGCTCCGTGCCACTGACAAACTTTCCCCGATACAGGAGGCCGTCTTCGCCTTCAAAGTCCACGGGGAAACCCCCACTACTGGTGCCATTGGCAGTGCGGAGAGCTGGCTGTGATAATGCGGCTTCCATCCTGAATTACATTAAATTTTGGTAACTCGTTCGAACTTAACAGGATACTAAGAGCGTGGAATCATGCGAAAATGTGAATTCCACTGAAGTTCAATCAAAGATATCAGCTAAGCAGCTTTAGTACAGCAACATGGCAGGGAGCCGTAGTGACTCACGTAACTGCTTTCGGATGTGTATGAGCCTATGAGGTTTGTACTCGTACTTGTAGTACGTACGAATATTTCACATACGTACTTCTACCGGTTCGAATCCGTTCGATGAATCAACACAAGTTGGCGGTTGCACAAATTGCGACCGCGTTCAAGTTTGCATACGGTGCGGGCCGAGTAACGCCAACGGGCAACGCGTATTGCAATAATTGCATTCATAATTCCTGTTCACTTCTCTCAACTCCAGCTGGTCCAATCAATCGCTGTGACTTAGTGACTAGACGGTCTAGACCAAAATTTTGATTATTGCGAACCTAGCTATCCTCAGTTCTTTTCCACTCCAATTCAGAGTATTCTTTCGTGTTAACGATCGTGGCAACAATGGACACCAAAAAGGACGTACAGAGCGCTGATCACCGTAGTTTTTTGGCTGGGGAGCTGGTGATGTCCTGTGATCCTATGGTGTGGATTCTGGAAAGGAGCGCATACAAAACGCACTGTGCTTACTGTCTCCAGAAAAGCCCGGGATTACGCACCTGTTCGGGATGCCAACTGCATCGCTACTGCAATTCGGCTTGCCAGGTGCGACTATTCAAATCTGTATTGATGGCAGCTCGTGATGACGTTACGTTGGTGTAAGTTGTACAAAATTTCGAGCGTACCCAAGGCGGGAATGATGCTGCCTAATTTCAATATGCATGAGCTGTTAAGCGTGTTCCTGAGTGTAACAATTGGCTGAAAATAGACCGCGGACTGGAAAGTGGAGCACAAACTAGAATGCGCTGTCCTAAAGCAGATCGGTAACATCGACCCAATGGTCGCCTTGGAGGGCGCATTTGCGGGGCTTTTGACGGACAGCTGTCCCTTAACCATGGCCGTAGATACTGTCTGTCTCGACCTTGACATGACCACCAAGTTGTTCCATAAAATAAAGGTAAAAGGTGGTTGTTATGGGGAACCCGGGCTGGTTCGGAGATGCGTTCAAGTGTTTCGTATTTATAATTTGCACAAAACCTGCACAAAAATCCTTAGTATAAGTGTAGGCGCTATTATGTGAGTAGTCGCTCGATATTCCGAAATGGTCAACTCGTTGAAATCTTCTTATGTTTCTCCAGAAGAACGCGATGATGGAGATCCCGGGAATCGGTCGGAAATCTGTCAGAGAACTTCTGTTCATGCTGCCAGCAAATCCTCTGCAACCTGAGCTCGACCCGGCGATTCTAGGAAAGTGAGTTGTAGATTGGAATTAAATATCCCTTCGCAGGTAGATTTGCGGCTAGGATGATAACTGAGCATAAAATTGTGAACCAAGTTGAGCATTTGTTAACGCTGACATCCCAGCTATCAGCAAGTACGTAAATCGTGTTTTGCAGAGATTCGGTTGCGGGAAATCGCCAGATATCCGGTGCTCCTTTCATGGATTTCCAGACGTACTGTAAAATTGTCCGCTACAATGGCGTGCCAATTTACAGTGTGTTTGCGCCGCACACGCCGATCGGCAGAGCGGTGTATCCGCAAGCACCGATGGGACGGATGACGCCAGTGTGCTTTGATATGAATGTGGTGCTGAGCCACCGCGGACGGCGGCTATTTATACATGCCGCGGAAGATATTCCGCATTTTACCGGACTAGGAGATGTAAGTCGCAAACTGTGTGAACTCTGCACCATTATGTGTGATTTGTGAAGTGTGACATTGGTCGCACATGCATATGATCATATCTCCCGAGCACATACAATATGGCTGTGTTTTCCTAGTTGCGTTATTGTGGTATTGGCGAACCATTCTGTCTGACAAGAGCGGAGCGTCGCGCCGTGTTTGAGAAGCGCCATCAGCGTCCGTGTACTTGCCGCAAATGCACGGAAGCATATGTACGTACGGTATCCGACGCCTTTAATCTGATTCCGTTGCTTTTGCTGAATTCTAATCTGTGTTTTCAGGATGCCGACATTAATCCACTGCAGTGTGTGACGGTCGGGTGTCCCAATCGAATTCCCAGCGACAACCGTGCGTTGGCAGCGTGCGCGGAATGCGGTGCCCTCAATAGTGACCGATTGGCACAACTGCTTCGTTTTATGCAGCAGCACGAATCGCTGAAACACGAACCCCTGAAGGACCGCTACCCGAGTGAACTGCACGAGGCCATCATCCTACAAATGTACAAGGAGATGGAGACTGCTGGTATCCTGCAGCCGGATGCGCATTTTCGATATATCTGCGGATGGGATGTAGCGCAAAAGTGTTACCAGGAGAGCCGCTTTGAAGATGGCTGGCCGATGGTGGAGGAGTTTGTGACTTGTGCACGGTAAATTAGAAAGTTCTACTCTGTAGATTTTGAAATAATGATTAAAAATGGTTTGATCTCATTAATTTTATCAGTTAATTAATTTTACCAATTTATTTTATTTGTAATTAATAAGAGTGTGCTGGTCTACAGAAAGGTGTGTCCAAAGTATGCGGGTTTTCGCGCCACTCTGCTGCTTTCTGCTGGGATGTCTACCGCCGCAGCGATGGAAAAGCAAATCCTGAACGGTAGTTGCAAGCTATCGGAACCGGCGAAGCTGAAGCTGGCAACGTTGTCTGGTAAAGCGTGCTGTTACGTTCTGGATTATGCTAACGAAGCGATGCGGATTTTGGGTGTACTGTTTGGTAAGGAGTCGAAGGAGGCCCAGATAAGCGAGGGTGCGCTGAAGATGATAACTTCCACGGTATGCCGTATTGAACAGTTTTATCGTGAGAGCAAAGAATGAAGTTTTCGATTTCTGCAGTCAGTTCCTGTGCTGTTCTGTTTATTCCAGTCTGACGGTATTTTTTGTATGCCTAATGCCTTGAAACATACTTCAATAGTGAAATTTGCAGAGCTGTTAACAGTTTTTACACCTTTCTTTGTTAACGTTCAACGGAACAATTTTAACCAGTTTGCCATTTGGTTGAGCTGGTTCCCGTGTGTGGCAGTAGCGGACACTGTACAGCGGAGACTTTAGTGAATAATCGTTTTTACGATAATAATGATACTTAATTATTGTTGATTAATTGATGGATTGTTTATCGAGCAGCCAAGTCTGTAAACTCTCACATAATAGGAATATTGATTATAATATGATTGGTCCACCTGTTATCAACGTGTCATACCATATTGCACAACACCCAATACGCGACGATGCTGAATCACCTTATTTGCGGCGTTTTTTCGTTGGATGGGATGTAAGGAGCGCTCCGGGATAATCTTTTACAATTTTAGAACCATGTCCTATTTTGTCACTGAGTATTTCCCGAAGTTCAGAGCTGTCTGAAAAATCACTACCATTGTTCCCTGGTGTAAAAGTCTAGTCGCTATCTTTCGGACATTTTAAGAAGCCCCGCAAATGACTCATTTCTTGTAGCGGATCCTTTCTAAACAGATCATATTCCCAGATTTGGTGTGGATGGGAAATGACCTGTTAGAGCAAAATTTATCGGTGAAGCTTCGGCTGATGAGAATCGTTCTTGCTGCTTGGCTTGACTAAGTTATCAGAGACGCTCTCTCCTGCTCTGAACGTCGACGGTTGCTGCGATTCATCACGGGCTCATACGCAACGCCGGCGCCCCCAAGATTCAGACTTGACTCAGTAATGATGGAAATATTTTACAGACAGAGGTTGTCGGAGCAACTCCACAGTCCACACTGAAGATGGATCGGTTGTTCGCTAAGCAGGCTGGTCGCTACGAATGTTGGCTCCGAATTAACGATCGCTGTGACGAATGGATCGTGAAGAAGGCTTATATAATCTTAGTGCAGCTAATAATACCAAAGCAGAATTAATTTTGCCCATCGGTTCATAATGTTTACTACCGGTTTTGGCCAGCACGATGACTATACAAACTAATTTTATCCAAGTTCGCCACGCTATATCTACAGTTAATCTGACTGCTCTTTCTTCCGTAGCCTGTGCGTTTCTTGTATCGGTAGATGTTTCTTGTATCGGTAGATGTATCGGTAGATGTAGGTAGATGTTCCCCGGCATTAGCAGCTTTACTACATCGTATAACGGTCACTATAACCAACGGTAAAACAAAATTTCACTGATTCAACAAGTCTATGTAGATTGCAAACGATAGGCAAGGTTATTAATTCCAATTACAGTGATACCGGTAGGTCAATGAATCGTAAATGATGGCTCGTACAAAAACATCCATAAGGTGCAGCCAGCACAAGCCATTTTGAGGGCCGGCTAGTCCTCATGTGGATCGTTTTTCCTCGAGAGCGAGTCTGATACTTCCTTCCTGTCACTTGTACATGAACAGAAGGGGCTGGAAAAGTTGCAATTGCGCTGCCTGGATCAGTTGCAAATTTTGCCCGGACGATGGACTCATGGACGGCGACGGCAGACTACCATCATGACTATTAGCACCACCAGGCCAGTGGCTAACGCAGCCATAATTTCGCCGATAAACCAGTAACTGGGTGCTGCAAACGGCATAATTGACTCATTAAATCGGTTATGTCGAGCATTTATTAGTGCTGATTAGAAGCAATACAATCACTGGATAGAGCAGCGTTCATGCGCGAGATTGCATGTGCAGTGGTACACTGTACACTTAAAAGAATATATAGATAAATAATCATAAATTATTATAGATATGAAATAATGACCAGTGCGTAACTCACGGCAGTACTGCCAGTCGTACGCAGCCACCATACTCTGCGTATCCGCTCCATCCGATAACCTTTCTGGGCAGTTAACACGACCTTCTGATTTGTCACAAATATACGCGCTGTTGACGTAACCACCCAGAGCAGTGCAGTACGTATTGTTAACCGTACTCAGCGCTAAAACAATAGGAATGAATGAACTTTTACCGCTGCAAAGCTAAATATTTGCGGCCATAATTGCCCTATTGTACCTTCAACAATGGTATAATCGAAGACCGCTTTCCGAAGAGCTTCACAGTCAGCTTTCTGGTGAAGGTATTTCAAAGAAAACACAGGTTGCCTGGCGTACTCCGAGAGCACTTGGCCGCGGGAGGTGGGATTGTAATGCTGATAACCACTTCCGCCAATCCATGATTTTCGTAAAAGCGGCTCCCTTATTCCAGTTGCGTCATAGATCTCCAAACGGGCCGGTCTTGAAAGCTCAAAGGTTCTATGAAAACGCAAGATAAAACAAGCTCCGCAAAACTGTTGCATAAATTTTGCGAGGCCCGTTAGCACCTGACGTTGAGATAGATGGCGAAGGCATCCTCCGGGTTTCCGCATTCGCCGCGTGTTTTTACAGTCAATTTACATGGCTCATCGTGGGGGCACAACTTTCCGTAAGCATTCTCAAAGTATAAACGATTCGACCTTCAGATAGCGACTCATTTATGGTAAGGGGTGGCAGAAACTCGATTGTGCCTGCACTAGCTGACGCAACGAAAGGACAGTCGATTAAGATGGTTTCCCCGCATTTACGTACAACTGAAAAGAGCCATGACTTACTTTAATCGGGTTGAACGGCTTGTGTACTTACTGTACGATTTGTATGGTAGACCATGGACAGCGAATGAGAAAACGAGTAACAAAACCACAAAATGGGACATTTTAGAAGTTCCAAACAAGAAAATAGCGCCTAGGAACCGTAAACGAATAAAGCAAAATAAGTCATTTTAATCTGTTTCAAATCACGTTTTATTCGCTGGATTATGAGTCAAAACAAATTAAACTGCAGATTACACGCGATCAGTGTAGCCAATAGAATGGCGACACCTTGGTGTTTTGCATGCATCCAGACGATGGATCGCTGGTAAAGTGCTTGTGAGTACATCCAGTCCTGATTGGTGGTGGTGTTACTGGTGTATCATGCGGTATGTTCCGCATAAGTGCTTCGATGGGTACATGTTGATATTTGCAGACGGCAAACACAAGTCACGCAACTGATTGGTACACGTATATTGTACAGTACTGGCTTGCATGCCGGCGAGCATTAAACCGTGTAATGTTATTGATATTGATTTTATCATTCATAGAATGACTATTCAAGAATAAAGTTTGTGGTAGTACAATATCACTTACCAATACCATTGATTATCCTGTAAAACAGAACGATAATATTATTTGTGTTAAATAACCGTCTTTTCCATTTTCTTTTGCTTCTCCCTGATAATTCGTCCTGTATCTGACGGCGAGAGGCAAAAAATGCGGCTTTGTGAAGTACATAATGTATATAACTAACGTACAGACGTTTTCGCCACAAAAATAATTCGGATCGTCATTTTTTATAATTAAAACGGACGTGAGAAACAGACGTTCCTGTTAATGGCAGATGATCTGAGAATGATTTGAGAAACAGACGTTCCTGCTAATGCCAGATGATCGCGAGCCAAATTTTTCCTGGTCAAGGGGTAAAATCGGAGTCTTTCGGTCAGCAGACAAAATGGCGTGCATGTTACGTTGTATTCGCACCAAAATTTGCAAAAAGCATTCGGACTAGTTGTTCTTTATATTGAGATGCTTATACAGTTGCACCATTATTCTAAATTAAACTTATAAGGATTTTTTTTTCGAAGTGTCCACCGACACTTGGCTGGATAACCTTCTGTATGTATCAATGTAAACTAAAATACACGCGAACATCGCCGTTGGATATAACTTCTCGTTTACCACATTCTGCGATAGCACCCGTTCTAATCCGGTTTGCATGCATCCGGAAAAGAAGCGGTAAATGTATAAAAAGCGGTATAATTATGTGGTTTGGTTCTCCAGCAGTCAGCACTTTACACGATACTACACACGCTGCAGCTTGAGCCATAATTAACGATCCGAAATCATCATAATCTATGTTGTGTCAACATGGCCGTTTTTCCGCAACTTCTCCTCGTTGCTTTGTTGGCATTGACTGTGGCTCGGCATTCAGCGGTTGCCAGCAGTACGGTAAGCAGAGCACAACACTTCGCTTTGAATATTGTATCTGCTAGTGCGAACCACAGCGCGCTGTGAAATTTAATTTTACAAGCCACCTTTGCAAGCCCTCATTTTTGAGAAACTTCGTTGTAAATACTAGCAACTGCGCTGCTCGTAATGCAAGGACGTTTCAGTAGAAACGGTTAAATGGTTTAACGAATTCATGAAGTCATAATGCATTTGATGAAAACTGCTGCATGATTGCATCCACCAAAATATGCCTCGCTTCCAGGTCGAGGATGACGTCAGCCTTTCCCTACAAAAACGTACTGATGATTGGTTTTACTGCTACACACAAGACATCAGCAAAAGCCGAAAAGACGCGATAAGGTGCGGTACGATCTACCATGTCACCGGATCAACTAGCGAAAAGGATGACGCCTGTAATAAACGATATTCAGGCTGCTGCAAGAAAAACGGCAACCCAGGATGCCATTCTAGCCAGAAATGAGTGCCAACTGCGGTAATAAACCCATAATGTACCACAAGTCACACAATTATGGAAAATAAAATGTCTGGAAACGTCACAAGATTTATATTATCACTACCTTGTACGCTATCTTATTTTTAACATAAGTTAATTTTAACGTGTTAGGAGGAAAAAATTGAAGCGGTTGTTAAATGAAATGCTGTGTACATGTGTGTTGTTTTTAACTTCGTAGCATACAGATTGTTTGCCTTGAGGATGTATCGGTGAAATTTTGTCAACAAACAGCACTTTTAGGACAGTGTTTGTTCTATCAAATGTTTGTGTGAGTCCAAGAAACAAAGAACTACCGTATGTTACACAATTATTGCTCGAGTTCAAATTTCATAACAACTTTGTCAAAAGCAACCCATGACAAATTGATGCGACTAGCAATTGGTTCCGGAGATGTCAACAATGTTTATCTTGTAACTAAAGGGAGAACATCCTTTGTTATATTTTAGCAAACCAGAGCTGCAATCTGTTTTTTCTATCAAATATCGGCAAACCATTTTTCCCGTCCGGCTCCGTTTGTCATAACATTCTAGTGGACTCTGCTGTTTTGATAAACGGGTTCTTTAGTGGATTAGCGAGTTTTTAAACAGAAACAAGCGTTTCGAACATTAGGTTGTTTATCAAAACGCTTTATCAAGCTTAAAAAAAGAAACTGTTTACATTTGGGAATATTTATTGTCTGAGAGACCAACGCATCGGAAACCGCATGTAGCGTTAGCTGCATCTCCTCATGCGGCTGTCAACGACGCGAACACACCTGTTTTCCCTTTTAGCAAGAAAACACCTTAGCCTCTTTCCGGTACTCAAAGCGTGTTGACCTTTTTATCGTTTTTGGGAAGTATTTGTGGCCGACCGCATCCCTTGCGTCTCCGCTGCGTTGTCCGGGCGCAGCAGACGATGAAAAAAGACTTTTAAACCCATCCGGTATGCTTTTCCAGTTATGAAGAATATAATCTGTTTAACACGACGCATTAAAAGAATAGTCAACATTTAGGAAAGCCGAAATGAGATGTCAACGAAAACAGTTACTTACCGGAGTTCCAAGATAGCCAGAATAATAAAGTACCCAGATCCACATTTGTACAAGTCGATTACTTACAGTAAAATGAAAAGTCAAAATGATAATATGAGGTAGATAACACGCCAAATATCACAACGACGACGCAAACAATATTCTGCCTATTAAAATTCGGCGTTTTACTTTCAAATGCATCGCTCGATCAGCGGCATCCCGAATGCGATTATTAGAGAAGCTGACTCGCAACTGCGACAATAAAATCACTAAATAACAGCACATCGCCCCGGTTATTGGTACATAAACGCCTAGAATTCTGATAGCACGAACGTTATCCCAGTTGGTTTGTGTCATAGGGCGGACCGTACAGATATGCCAGGGCAAAATTAATGTCGCGTCCCAGCCACTGCCGACAGCCACCGGCAGCGAACACGCCAGATTGATAGCCCAGCAAATCAGAATCGCCGCTATCGTCACGCTGCGCTTTTTTAATTTTGAATAGTGATGCGGAAAAACAATGGCAACCAATCGGTTGATAGACAGCATGAACAGCGTCCAGTGTTCGCAATCGGCACAAATGGTATACATATGCGGCGTAGAAGTTACGGCAGTTTGTTAATGATAGAATCAGTGAGGGGAAGTATACTGACACAGTTAGAGCCGGATTGAAGACGGTCATGATCAGCAGACTGACGAGAAGCATATGAATGATTTGGATATGGGACTCGGAAGGCCTAGAGTGCCGGGATATAATGGCAATAATTAAGAGAACTATCAATGACGCTGTTATTAGCTCAATTAAGAAGGTCGTGATGAACCAGGCGGTCAGCGTAGTGGTACCGGCTTCGAGCGATTTATTGGATGGTAAAGTATGGTTCAGAGATGCGTTCATTGTGTCGGTGTGTCAAATAAAACGCCGGCGAGAAATGACCAGGGTAATAACTGGCGATTTGTTCAAGAACACTTTTACAAAGAAATGGCCCTCTGGAGCATGAATAAACAATTACACTGTCCAGATTTGTATAAGTATCCTAAAGTCCTTCAGTGGGATTGCTAGGAGAAAAAGTAATTTTTGCTTTGCATCGAGCAACGCAGTTCTTGTCGAAGACGGCGGAGGATCCACATTCAGTTGTATGCGTATTATACGTAGTTTCCTTCGACATAATCGCTGTCAAGTATAACAACAAATTGTTATCTTACGCTACGCCGCCCTTTCGCGTGCGTAGTCAATGTGTGCAATGGAATGTTCAATGGGGGTAATAGAATGATGCTCTTGGCTATTATTCTGCGATCTTTTAAATTCAGCTTGTATTTATTGTAAGGCATGATTACGGGCTGACGTCTTCTTGTGGGGTTGTGCGATGTCAGTGTTTTCCATCCCTAGTGGCGAAAATGACCTTTCAACCGGCAATACCTCATCAAAATAACAAAACGTGTAAGCCGCGGAATGCGCATTTACTGTCGTCTGTCGGTATTTTCCATTCAGCATCAAAATGGCTTTCAGATCATTTCAGGCGTCCGTAAATACAGTGCGTCAAACACACTGCACTGCTTCTTCAACTGTTAAGCACACACGTTGCATAAGAAGAAACGCGACACCCGGAATGAATAATGCAACGCGATGATACATCCGCTCTTTTTTCTCCGGTTTTTCGCGTTTTTACAACTAGTATCCTATCCAACTACAACTAATTTTTGTATTCACTATTCAGTATCGACAACGAATTATGGCTAATCCGATTTCAGTTTGAAGCGACCCATTGCTGCCACTAGCAATACCCTTTCTAGTGCCACATCGGCAACACGGAACTGGAAGTGGAACCGTAATTTGGTTGTTATAACCGTTTATAAGTTTAATCACACTTAAAATATTTTACCATTTTTACCATTTTCTGTTTGTCGGCTGTATATCAAATGCGTCGACATTGGTTCGCATTAAATTTTTTCCAATGAAATTCGATTCAGTACTACGAAATTTCCGTAATACAAACACATGAAGGCTTCAGAGAAGTGACTTGGTAGATGTTACTATAGATGTTACAGTAGACTCGTGTACTCTGTACATCTGACATGCATGGAAACTTTCGCTAATACGCCACCCACCGTAAACATTTTTATGTCGTAAACATGTTGCTGCAGTGTCACGGGAATCCGTAAGATTTTTACCACAAATGACGAAGACGC